AAGTTTGCAATAAAAATATATCCTACTTACAGTAATTAAAAAGTTAAATACCAAAGTTTAGTTGATTAGTCTGATAATAGCGATGGTTATATTCCCGTCTAGTGTCCGTCAAGCCATATAAACACGCATTGAAAACCGCATTCATTTTATTTTTCCCCCCTTTATTTAAAAATCTTCGCGCAGCTAAAAAAAACACTGTGTAGTAACGTTTAACAAAGAATCCCAGATTCGGGACGAACTCTCTCGTGGAGACAAGAGCGTCCTTTCCCCCGGTGACTTCTACTGCGCCGTACGTGACCCCCCGGATCGGAACCGGTTTGCAGGCACAAATGGCTGCATCTTCCCCCGTCGCCTGTGGCGGTTGGGGTCCTCCTCTCTTTCGAAGAGGGAGGCGAGGAAAAGAAGGACAATGAGGAGACGGCCAGAACGCGAACGCAAGCGAGTCTCTGCGCACGACATTTTGACTATTGAACGAAAGCTGTTCGCAGCGGAGTTAAAAAAAAGTGTTGTTGTTGTACTCAAGTAGCGCCTCATCTGCCAGCAAAAGAAAACAGCTGTAACAGAAAAATTTATGCTGGAAACCCGGGATTACAGCACTGTGAACACTTCGAACGCCGAAAGAAAAGTGAGTGATTCTTCCTTCTATTAGGACGACAGCACGGAAGTTCACAAGAAAAAGCGCAAGGCGATTCGGTCACAAGTGACGCGGGTAGTGAACGACGTTGATGCGTTCGCAACACCGAGGACCTTGAGCTACTCATCGAACGACTGATCGCGGAGCAGGGTGAACTTAACACCGCCGACGCCACCATCGAACCACTCATTTCGGAGTAAGACGGAGACCTCGAATTCACCCACCTCCTCGAATATGCGGACAAGATGTGACCTACATGACAAAGCTGAAGAGCCAGCTAAGATGCAGTGCGGAACGCGACAATCCATCCAACGAGAGTAGCCTGATCGGAAGCACTAACAGATCACCTAAAATTTGAACTTCTGAAATTCAACGGTCAACGGAAAAAATGGCAGCCGTTTTGGGAACAGTTCGAGACCGCCATCCATCTGAACTCGGACCTATCGCCGGCGGAAAGGTTCAACTAAGTGCGATCAGCGCTGAGCGGCGATGCAGCAGGTGACGCGTTTCTGGCTTAACTGCCCACCACACAGTGGTACTCCGACGCCGTAAACCTCCTGCGGAAGACGTTCGGAAGCCAGGAAGCACTCATCCAAGACCCCATGGAGGGAGTCAGCTTCCCTCGCCGGGCCTGGACCTGGATGGTATGGGGGTGGGCGAGTCCTGGTCCGGATGGTGACGACCGATGACGTACGGTGCTCGCCCGATGACAGCCCCCGGGAAGTTGATAATAAAAAAAAAATACTAAAACTAAAAGTTGTTCGATCCCGCTGAACACATTGCGACGTTGGTTGACTTTACGGTGGCCAGTGTGGCCACGTTTATTATGAAACAAAACAACTCCACAGTGAGTTAAAATCCCAAAATTAAACCCCGTACTTTTGTTCCCAGTCTCCCAAAATCGAATCGAAGCCAATCCCCCGAATCCCCCTCGGGGATCCTTTTGTAGCCTCGTAGGGGCCTCCTTTCCCCTCAGGGTCCAACCAATCCCTTCAAATTTCACCACTCCCACGTGGTACACTGTTCTCCAATGGTCGACAAGCTGTCAGCCTAGCACTTCCAACGGCCAAATCCAAATTCTTTCTAGAATCAACTCCTGCATTTTAAGCAGACGGGCTGGCGCCAACAGCTAAATTATTACCTCGGGTAAAAAGCGACAATTTGATACTAAGCGGCAAAACCCTCTATGTACAGGCACATTCGGCTAAAAGCTACACGCTTCTCCAGGCGCGGGCTGTCCCGCTCCCGGTCCGAGCAGGCTTCCGAAACCGAGACGCTTCTTAACGACCGCGGGGGGAACCGCTCCCGCGACGCGGCCGCTCTGGCCCCGCCGACACAAACATAGAAAGCTAAAGAAAACAATGCCGACGCAACTCTGGAAAGATAAACTTTCCTAACAAAAATCACCTTAACTAATAAGCAGGATTTTTACAAACTTAACACCTCCCCACCAAGAATGCTGCAAGTACACTTGTTGTTCGCGCAACATCAGTCCCACTGTTCGTAACTTCGGAGACACACAACACAGAGCAAGACCCAGAGTCGTACATTCCAGATTCCACAATGTCCATATAGGTATATTTAAACCCGCAAATCTTAAAGCTCTACAGTAGGGGTGCAGACATCACTAGGCACTCTATTCCTGACAAAGTTCGCACTAGTCAAAATAAACATTCAAAATAAAACAAAAACTATACGACTAAAAAAAATGCAAAGTGCTCCAAGAAAGCAATCCACAGATAACTCCCAGCGTCTCCGCCAGCACTTTCTCTGTGCTCTTTCGAGCCTCGACCTGCACGTCTCAAGATATACGTGAGGACCGACAAACTTCTCCCGCGGAGAATAAAGACTATGCACCAAAAATATTACGTAGAATATAAAATACTGAAGGTCCGACCGAAAAGCAAACGGAAAGTTAATCGGGAGGGCAGTGAAATAAACGTAGCCTAAAGGCGAAACAAAACTACAGTAGCCTTGCTAGCTACCCTCCTAATCTTGGCCGTCTTGTCGTCCAGCTCGTTGCCATCGGAGACGTTCTGAGAACTGCCTGAGGCGGCGCGCAGTAGGTCACTTCCACGACACCCGTTGAACCCGAACTCAAACTGAACGTCTGCCGTCCTCGCGTGCGAGCTCTGGCCACTGGCCGGAGTGGCTTCCCCTTCTTTTCGGTGCCCATTTGGCGCTTGCCACCCCCGCAGCTCCTTGCGTCCGGACTCCTCCTTCCGGAGTCGCTCGACGCAGCCTTCTTCCTAATCGTCACCCTACGATGTACCGCCGGCCTGACCTTCGGTGATAACACGGCGCCGGTAGCGGAATCGGTGCCATCACCATCGCTCCCGCTCTCGCCTCCCTTCGTCACCGGATCACCGGCGAGTGCCTCTGCCTCGTCGGCGCTGGACGCAGATTTCTTCCTGATCGTCACCCTACGATGTACCGCCGGCGTGACCTTCGGTGACGATAGGGTGCCGGTAGCGGAGTCGGTGCCATCACCATCGCTCCCGCCCTCGCCTCCCTTCGCCACCAGATCACCGGCGAGTGCCTCTGCCTCGTCGGCGCCAGCTCTCCTCTCAATTTTCACTCCGCGATCGCCGCAGTCATCGCCGCATGCATTCTCCTCGCGATCTTTCTCCGGACTCATTTCAGTCTCAGCGCTCCTAAAACATGCCGGAGCGACGGCTGCAAACTCCGGCATCGGCGCGAGGACGGCGCGGGGTTCTTTCGCGAGCTCTCTCATTTTTGTCGGGTCCTTCGAACTCCATTTTCTTATCGCCTGAATCTGGGCCAGCTTTACTTCCTTAATTTCGCGTTGGAGTCTAAGAATTTCAAGCGCTATAGCTGCCGACCTGCTACCTACCCCGTCCTCCGCCCCAGAAGAACTGCCCTTAGCCCCTGATATTGTGCCTTTGGACATTGTGAGATTCGGAGGAAACAACCCTGGGTCTTACCTGGGAACGAAGGTCCTGCCGTGCCGTCACGTTTCCCCGGGGCGTCTCTGTGGCTCCCTTGTGTTGCCGCCTTCCGCCGCTCTCGAGTCCTTCACTCCCGGAGCCTCTCACTTGAATGTCGCTCCGTCCACCGCTCACAACGCAACAGGCTATTGCCGCCGTCTTCTCACGCAGATATTGGCGGGGCTCACCATCAGCTGACGTCGTGGCGTCCTTCTTGAGTCCCTTGACTCCCGGAGCCTCTCGCTGGGATGCCGCTCCGTCCGCCGCACACGACGCAACAGGCTATTGCCGCCGTCTTCTCACGCAGATGTTGACGGGGCTCACCGTCAGCTGACGTTGTGGCGTTCTTCTCGCAACCCGTCGCAGGAAGTCAGCGGGATCCTGTCGACTGCGCCAGTCAGCTTCCCTCGCCGGGCCTGGACCTGGATGGTATGGGGGTGGGCGAGTCATGGTCCGGATGGTGACGACCGATGACGTACGGTGCTCGCCCGATGACAGCCCCCGGGAAGTTGATAATAAAAAAAAAATACTAAAACTAAAAGTTGTTCGATCCCGCTGAACACATTGCGACGTTGGTTGACTTTACGGTGGCCAGTGTGGCCACGTTTATTATGAAACAAAACAACTCCACAGTGAGTTAAAATCCCAAAATTAAACCCCGTACTTTTGTTCCCAGTCTCCCAAAATCGAATCGAAGCCAATCCCCCGAATCCCCCTCGGGGATCCTTTTGTAGCCTCGTAGGGGCCTCCTTTCCCCTCAGGGTCCAACCAATCCCTTCAAATTTCACCACTCCCACGTGGTACACTGTTCTCCAATGGTCGACAAGCTGTCAGCCTAGCACTTCCAACGGCCAAATCCAAATTCTTTCTAGAATCAACTCCTGCATTTTAAGCAGACGGGCTGGCGCCAACAGCTAAATTATTACCTCGGGTAAAAAGCGACAATTTGATACTAAGCGGCAAAACCCTCTATGTACAGGCACATTCGGCTAAAAGCTACACGCTTCTCCAGGCGCGGGCTGTCCCGCTCCCGGTCCGAGCAGGCTTCCGAAACCCGAGACGCTTCTTAACGACCGCGGGGGGAACCGCTCCCGCGACGCGGCCGCTCTGGCCTCGCCGACACAAACATAGAAAGCTAAAGAAAACAATGCCGACGCAACTCTGGAAAGATAAACTTTCCTAACAAAAATCACCTTAACTAATAAGCAGGATTTTTGCAAACTTAACAGAGGGCCTAATGGATATTCCTCATGTGTCGTCGTCACGGAACAGTGAAGTCCTCAGACGCTGTACGACAACCTACACGCTCGCGAGGACTCAAGGCGTTGGGGGTGAGCGAGGACTCCTTCTGTGCAATGCTCTGCGCGGTCCGACGTCGTGCTCTCCCAGATGACATGCTTCTGGAGTACAACCTAAAGATGGCTGCGGTGGACACGGATGACAACATCAGCCGGGGCCGGTTACTTTGGATACAAACAATATAGGCATAAATGTCTGAAATTTACAGAATAAAAGTCTACAGGAGTTCTAGCAAACCTTTTCTATTCACAATGTATCCACCTTTTTATCGCGTTTCTTGAGCTAATTGGCCGACCATTCGGGATCGAAAAGCTGTAGACTGAAGTGTCTGATCTTTGGATAGAAGATCTACAGACATTCTAGCAGTATTTGCTATCCACAATGTATCTCCATTTTTAACGACTTTCTTCAGTTAATTGGCACGTCAATTTGGATACAAAAGGTATACAATAAAATGTCTTAACATTGGATTGAAAGTCTACAGGCATTCCATCTGAATTTTAGACACTTTAGTCTACAGCTTTTCGAAACCTAGTGGTCGGCCAATTAGCTCAAGAAACGCGATAAAAAGTTGGATACACGTTCAATAAGTAATCTATTCACTGAATCCACAATTCTGTATACAAATTGGATACTCCCTCGCTCAATATTTTTGTAAGGGCACACCAGTTTTCAATGACATGGCAATCCTGGGGCGATACAGCAAAACGATTACAAGGGAAATTCATGAGGCGTATACAATAAGGAAGGGTGCAGATTAGTGCATAAGCGAGCCTTCTGTGACTCTGTCAGAAAAAGAGCGTCTATTTTTGGATAAAGAGTGGGCACGTGGAAAGTGACGTGGGTGTTTTTTAAAGTGTATATAAGACTATGTTTTTCCATAAATAAAACTTCAGTTGCGAGTGCGCCTTGTGTCGTCGTCTTCTTACCTTGTCCTAGACTTTCGGCGCTTGTCTTTTCCCAGTGTTTGAAACGACTGACCCAGTTGGCAATGCCGGCAAAACAACAGCGTAATCCTGTGCGTCATCCTCCGACCGCGGCTCAGCTGCCGCCGAAACTGCTCCGCGGGAGCCAGACATCCCACGTCCGTTCACTGCGGTGACTCGGCCATGACTGCGGGGCGAGTAAGGGGCTCTCAGATGTGGTAGTAACTGAAGAACTGGGGTTTCTGTCGTTGATGAAACGTTGCATGTAGCCGCTCAACGTCTATACAGGAGGGGGTGTTGCGCTCAAATGTGTATATAATCGCGTTAACCTTTGCATGGCATTGGCTCAACGTTTATAGACGAGAGGGCGCTGCGGTCAAATGCTCAAATGTGTACATAACCACGTTCCATACCACAAATTCTCTTTCTGGCATGGACCGTTGACTTAAGCGGTGGAGATGCGTTCCCACGGCTTCTAGCGGATCCAAGCTGATCCGCTCGAAGAACCACTGGCTCTGCATTTCACCGACCACAAAGCAGTAATAATGAGGTCGAAACGCAACCCGGAACTCAGCACTACCTATGAGCAATAAAATCAGTATCATCAGCACCACCAGAGCTTCGCCCCAATCAACATCATTCACCACACGGAGATACGGTCATTTTTTTCCGTAGGAATACACATGAAGACTAGAGAGATAGACTGCTTGCTGTCTGCTTCAATTTGCAACCGGAAGTCCCGTAGACACTAGCGCCAGCTGAGCCTCTAGCGTTTATTGTAATAACTCCATGGGGCAGCCGAGCGTTTGAAAAGGCCGGAGCAGAGCGCGGAAAAAATCTTAGAGGCCGTGGTTTTTTTTATGTTTTTCTCCAAGAGATGGCGCTAAAGAACCAAAAAATCAAAAAAAGAAGAACATTGCGATGATGATGATGGTCACGAGCTATATATTGCCCCCCCCCCCCCCCCCCCCCCCCCAACCTCCGAAGAGACCTCACATACGGAAGGGGTGCCGCTAAGCGCTGCTAGCGGTGGAAGCAGCTACTGCGGACGGCTCGCCCTCCAATAATGATTTCATGTTACTTTTGGCTCCCCCTCGTAAATAAACTAATTATTATAAAAACAATTATGCGTTTCATTAGAAAAGCTCCCTACAACACTTATGTGAAACCAATATTTGTTAACCGTCATGAAAATCACCGGGGTCAATGACTATTGCGTATTTTGTTCCTATTTATTTTCAAGCAATGAGTTCCTCGATATTAATATATGTTTCTTACCTAACGAAACGGTAAATTAATATTAATATCGAACACAAGGGATCTGGGATCAATCTTAATTTCCATACTAATTACGCACTTTAATCTGTGGTTCCTAACTTTCCTCTAGGCGGACAAGCTTTATTATTGACAGCTCTGATATATGTTGTTAGCTAAAAAGCAGTGTGCAAATGTTTTGCCAAAATAATTCAACTTGTCTTATTCAAGTAATTGTAGCGTGTTATTTGCGTGCAGTGGCGCCGAACCCAGTAAGGCTTCCTATTGGAAGGTTCGTGGTCCATGTTCTTGGCACAGTTTTTATTAATGACAGAAACTTCGCATCTTCTAAGCGTCTCATAGCTTGTATAGCCAATGTGGAATCGCACTTACTTTGATTTTCAAACCCGATTGGAAAACAATTTCAGATTAATATCTTTTAGAGCGCAGCTCTTAGACTCCCGTTTCCGGGTTGAGCGTCGTCGCGTCGCCGTCGGCGTCGGTGTAACCGCGCGTTGCATTATGTGACGTTTTACCGCTGAAGTTTGCGGGAAACTTTTTCCGCTAAATTTAGGGGGGAATTTTTCCGCCAAATTTAGCGGGAAAACTTTGTCCGCCATATTTAACGGTGAAGTCTTTCCACTAAAGTTAGCGGGAAAATTTGTGAAAATATCGCGCTAAACGGTAGGGGAGCAGGAGAGGAGGAGGGAAGGTACGAAGGAGGAGCATAGCCCTCCCTCCGTACCCTCCCCTCCTCCACCTAAACAGCTGGGCTCTAATTCGGTGTTACAGAGAATTGTAAACGTCTTTCAATTTTTTTTTATTAAACTTTTTGGGTGGTGTATATACTCTGTGATTTCAGGTAAACCCTTACGAATGCATGCCTATAAACAAACATAAACATATATCGCGTAGAGAGCATAACTGTGCTTGTTTGGTTGTCACTAAGACCAAACCGCGCAAACTAGAAAAATAACTTTTTTTTTTTTACTTTATTGTAAACGCACATTTTCAGCAGCTGCGAGCGGGCTGCTTTATGTGCTACAGGCAAAACCGAGGTCGTTCGCCCATTTCAGCGTGTGGTCTCGTCGAGTAGTTTTCCAGCGGACGCGAAACTAATTGCGTAAAAATTTCCTTTTGCTTTTTTTTTTTTTTTTTTTTACTTAGTACTACATTTACAATTAGGAACATATGGCAGGTTGAGAGAACCGCACCTTTATTATCCAGCTCACTTTTAGTATCCGAATTCTGTCCCCTATCCTAGCACTCTTACGGGGCGAAAACCGGAACAAACATATTAGCAACTTGTGAAGAGAAGACGTGCGGAAAGTATTTAGTGCAATGTTTCCATCAAAGGTGACAAGCGAACGATGGTCGGCAGCTGAAGGCAGCATGATGTCTAGACAGAAGGAGCTGCCCAAGCTCCCTTTGCCGCTTCTTCAAGAATCGCTCGACAGATTCGTGGAATTCATGGAACCTCTACTTACCCATCAAGAACTCGAGGAAACTCGAAAGGTAAATTGCAAAGAGAAGAATGATATGACGGAAGCAGCAATTGATTATTGCAAATTGCGCTGCGCTTGGTTTAGATCGGCACATACAATCTGTTATGATAGCTGTGATTTTAATACAGCACTAACTGATATCGCGACCAAATCATATTTGTTATTGCATGCCTTGTTTTTTTGTTCTTTATTTTACCGGATTCATAAAATTAAGACCCCATAAACGCATTTTGCTTTTATTTTTCTACTTCCTACCGACACGTTTGCTTTTAGTTTCGTAATTCGTAATTCCTTAGTTTGGCAAAGAAAACAGTAATGGCCGGAAGCCTAAAAACGCCTGGGCCCGTTTGCTCGAAATCGCAAGCCCCGGCTAAAGTTAGCCGCACTACCTAGGAGAGGGATTTTAATATCAGGTAACTGGCTTGGTAGGGATGCCGGGAAACATGGCTATGCCCCGGTGAGTGAGCGCCGCTCGCTTTGAAACTGATATGTCGTTGTAGCTGCAATATCAGGCGCGTTTGTCAGCAACGAATGGTGCAGGAGGCTTTCGCTTTGTCTTACCTCACTTAAATCGCAAAGCATGAGCAATGACCTCGTCGCATTCTTTAGATAGTCTTTCAGTTCTGGCCATTCCTAAGCCAAAACGATCGCGATAGTTGTTGGCATGGCAACGTCTTCGGAAAGTGGATTGCCTTGACTCAATCGGCCGGGAATCGACAGCACACAAAAGCAGGCAGCGTCCCAATAGAACTTTTTCCTAAATTTCTTGAGCACTGAGGTGTATGCTACGAGTTTAGCTACCACTGATCTCTATTTTAGTAGGCTGGATCGCGGATCGGGAGCCCGTCGGTGTCGCCACCGGCGGCCATTTCTTGAAACCAGGCAATACACGCAAGTCTATGGGAGAAACGCATAAAAGTAACAATATTGAAGCATGCACGCTATGTTCGGAGGCGAGTATTTTATGGTGCGCTGCGATCCTTATGTCGGGTGTTTGGAGATCGAATCGGTATTTTTCAAACGTTTGGTCGCCGAATAAAAAAAATCAAACGTACACTCTAAATCTCTGTTGCGAATATATAGCGAATAAAAGCGCTCGTAGCGAATATATTCGCTACAACAGCGGTAAAAAGCCGGCTTCCACAGTCCTGTATTCGCTACAGACACAAAAAAAGTAAGATACCAACAAAATGTCGAGCAACCTAACATACAAAAAGAGGTACGTAGCGAATGAATCCACCAAAAAAGATACAATCCTTTCGTAGCGAATATTTTTTCCCCACGCTGTTGCGGAAAGGATTTTTCAAGGTTAAGGGACCTTGTTTTTTTTTTTACATTTTGCGTTTTGGTTAAAATAGATCGGTAGCGGATGAATCTCGGAGCGCACAGCAAAGCCCATGGCGAACCCTGACTTGTGCACGAAAATGAAGAAACAAAGTGAAATCTCCGGCCAATTGTTCTTTCTTTTTGCTTTTTGTTTCGTTTTTGTTTTTGAACCCTTGACCGCACCGTCGGGAGAAGGGGAGGGAGAAGGAGGGAGACGAAGAGTTGGCTGTAAAGAGAGAGCCTCAAGCCGACAAAAAAAAAAAAAACCACGCTACAACCCGACGCCGGTCCCGGGAGAACTTCAGCCAATGGGAAGTCATGAATTTTCAAAAGCGCGGGAGATGCACCAAGAGAGAGCAGCGATATTTAGACAAAACAAGCCGTGACCTCCGCGGCGCTTTGCGCGTTAACTGTGCTGAGTGTCGGTGCGACCGCTAACGTTAGAACGATAGAGCTAGTTCAGCTTGCAACGGACATTCCACTCGGTGCTTGCATCGATTGCTGGGACCGCCCGGTTTGGCACCGTGAATTGGGTAAGTTTTCACAGTTCATTTCTTTACCTCTGATTTTGCAAGTATGTTTGTAGAAATGTACTGCCTTCTCGCCTAGCGAAGGTCTGGCGGATATAAGTAATTAGTGTTCTGGAATCCGTTCGCGCCTGTGGAAATGAAGTGAACTAGTTGGACCTGTTCTGAAGCGGTGAGAAATCAGTCATCGCCAATTCGTTGACGTGTGACGTTCCTTCGTTAGATTGTTTTATCGTAAGGCTTTCCGCGTTCGTTTCTTCGACACTCCTCGCGACAGTTCGTTGCAATGTGTATTACGGTTGCATTTCGTGAACACATATCCTCCTGTGACGTTTTGTCGCAGGAGGATATGTGTTCACGTAACGAGCTTCCACGAAACCATGCAGTGTCGACGAAAGGTGTGTACATAAAAAGTGTCTATGAAAAGTTGTCCACGAAATGCAGTCGCACGAAACGAGTTTTGATGAAACGATAAGGGCCCGTTCTAAAGCGTTTCCGGAGGTCCGCACGGCCTGGAAAATTGAGAGTTCGTCGTCTTCATAACTGCGTGAACCCGTCGACTGGGTGGCAGAGAGAGAGAGAGAGAGACGTCTTTATTGTGCCATTCTGGCTTAAAGGGGTGTTCGGTGTTTCGACGAGACCAAGGAAATGAATCCAGCTCGTTCGTCAGCATCGACAAGCATATGAGGCCTTAGAACACCCGTTTTGAGCTCATCAGTCTGGTAAACCACATTGTTTGCTATTCAGCTTAAAAAATATTATTGTAAATTATGAATCGACTCATCCTTGACAAGATCATTTTGCATACGGTATAAGTGAGAGGGAATGTTTATTCAATATCGCAGCTAGAATGTCCAGAGGACAACGTCGTGGAACCTGGGCCGAAACTATTTTTTGGCACTGACCGAAAAGTCATCTGGTGTTCAAGCGACCAAAAGATCGTCCTCAAGACAACATCAATGGAGCGAGCACTGGTGCTCTGCCTGGGAGTTCATTATGCAAGAAACATAACCTACCCAGTGGCGTTTTCTCAGCTCCTGGCACTAATCCAAATAGTGGTGGCGGGCGACGCCAACTTTCGCCAAAGTTGGAGAAGGGTACCTCTGAAGGCCCTCTTAAAATCTTTTGACAACCTGAAAGAGTGAAGAATCTTGATAGACGTTACTATACAGTTTTTGAAACTAATCACATTTCCTTATAGGCATATAAAATTTCTGGAAGCTCACCAGGATTCACGGTACCAATATTTTAAGATCAAATAAATACGTTTCCCATTGTTTAACCTTTGCTTCACGTATCTTTTTGTTACGTTATTTTGGCTGGTTTAGTTTAATGCCTTACTTTTCAGTACCTCTCTAATGCAAACAGGCTATCAACCAGGCACGTAGCCAGGATTTTGGTTCGGGGGGGGGGGGGGGAGGAGGAGGAGGAGGAGGGGAGGGCCGCCCTTGACGAAATGCTGTATGAGGGTGAGGGGGGAGAGGAGGTTCCAGCAAAATGAATGATTTCGGGTTGGGGGGGGGGGGGGGGAGGGGGGCCTCCCCCCTGGCTTCGTGCCTGCTGTCAACAGTTACACAAACACTGAAGATCCCTATGATCTACCTTGTATACAGGCTGTCTACCAACCTGGCAAACAGAAAACCTGTAATTGTCAGCGAATTTGGCGAGTTTGAAAAGTCAGGGAATATACACCTCGCAGTCCGGGAAATTGAGCTTTTCTTCCCCTGAGCGACCGAAAATCACGCGCGTGTGGTGTGGCATAATTGCATGCAACTCGGCTGGCATGCCGACGCAAATCTCTGGAACTCCAATCGCATTCTCTTGAAACGCTCGCACTATACCTTCTATCATTGTGCTCGTACTAAGATGAGTTGCTCTCCTTGTGCTCGCGCTAAAAGATTTATTTTGGGTGAAATATCAAAGAATAGCTGACAAGGTAGTATGATATAGTGGTTAGCCAACGCTTTGTTGGCCGCCAGATATACCAGTGTTTTTCACATATAAACAGTGCTTAAGGGTCCAGATACGTCCTCCCCCCTGGAACCCAGCAGGGAATTATGATAAAACAGGGGAAACCTGAAAAAGTCGTAGAATTTGAAAGTGTCATATTGGTAGACATCCTAATGTAGTGCCTGGAGAAAGCTGATTAAGTACACTGCGCGAACATGCGATCGCGGTTTTTGGTGTTTTTTTTTTTTTTTTTTTGTTTTGTCCCTCTTAAAGCCTAAGGGCTGTCTTCAAAACTAGTAGTTTGGTGGAAAATGGTTTTTGGGGCGCATTAACCTAAGCATTCATATTTTATACCCACAAACTTCCCTATAAAGTATTAGTTCTTTGTTGTTGTTTTTTACTTCCGAATAAATGTGTAAAAAAAGCAATAGTGAATAAAATATTGTAATATACTCTAATAGTAGCTATGTACTCTGACTACCTTTTTACATAATCACCGTAATGTTTAAGGGTGTTATTATGACGGGGTGCAAACTTTTCGATGACCTCCCCAAAGGAGGCTTCCGCCAGGGTTGTCAGCCCTTCCAAAGAACTGGGTAAACAAGACAATAGTGCTTAAAAATATTTTTTTTCAGGCACAGAATGTAGATACATACTCGAGATACTCCTACAAATATTAACCACATAGAAGTCATTACGACGTGGCACGAGCTTTTGTATGCTTTTTCCCTTTCGTATGCCCTCCCCTTTTAGTTGTAAAGTGGGGTGCATACGAAAGCTTGTGCAATGTCATAATGGCTGCCTAAATATATGCCATGATTATGTGGTAAAGTGGCTAGACCATGTGTCTGCAATCTGCATACGCAAATATTTTTAATCGCTCCTTTCTTCTTCACACAATTTGTCGCAAGTCGAAAAAAAAAAAAAAACAGCCCTGGTACGAAAAATTGCTGACGTAGCCGTGCTCACAGTGTCCTGGAGTTTACATAGAGCAACATATTGTGTCTGAGGTGACATAGAACGATCCGATGCGCTCACTGCCAACAGCCGCCTGTTAAATGACCTAATGTAGCAACGAGGCATGTCCCTCTTATGATGTTAGATGCAAAAATATAGCATCTTATGTGAAAAACCGTACTATTTATTTCTTGCTTCTCACATATTCTTGAAGCTTTTAGATAACCCCGTGCTATAGGTGCAAGAAAAG